AAGCCTCAAGCGACAGCCGCACAGATGAGTGCACCGCAGGCCCGTCTGCGCTACGAATAGCATCTGCGAAGAGCATGGAGATGAACAGGGAGAGTGGACTCTTCCGTAAGAGAGGTTTTTCAGACTTTAGTCTGACGAGGAAGATTCCTATTTTGACACGTCCTTTAGGGACGGGTCTATGGACCATTCTATGGGGCTAGGACTGATCCAGCCCGGGGAGCATATAGAGATCTTTGGTTCCGACGCCTGGGAGGACCCTTACGAAGATGAAGAGAAGACCCTGCGCATCAGAGGAGGAAAGGGCGGAGACTCTCCTACCACGAGCCCATCGAAACAGGCGAGTCCATCCTCTGAACTGCTGCCGGCGAGCAGATCGGGACCCAAATGCTCGAAGGTCTCAAGCAGGGTCCCCTCCGAGCAAGGCCAAGAGGGACAATCCACGGCCAACGTGGACTCTGACGATCATTCCATCTCGTCACGGGGGTCCGGAGGGATCTCGGAGAGAATCCGCGCACGCCCCATGGATATAACCGGGGTTCGGAAAGGGGAGGCGGCCGCGATAGACGTCGAGGAAACTTGCGCCTCATCGATGTCATCCAGAGGTGGGGTGACCCAGAGGGAGCTCACGCGCATGAGAGGAAGAACCAAAAGAAGTAAGGCCTCGGTGTCACACGTAATCTCATCTGACGATGACACAAGCACAAGAAAGGACTCGGATGAGCCTCCAGAAAAGAAGGGCACTGGGGACCCTGTGGACCCAATCTCCGTAGGAAGAAGGACCGGCAGGTCCTACTAAACGACCAGTCTCTACGTGGCGAGCGAAGGCCATACGGATGATGAATGAGGAGAAAGAAAGGAGCCTCCAACTGGAAAGGGAGGCACTCGTTCGAGGATGGGACAAGGACGATCTACTCACGAAATCCAAGATCGATCTGGAGAAAATAAAAGATGGCATGGAAGATGATACAAGCGAAGACTTGGCCATCAAGGTCTCACAGTGCATGATGGAGGTAATTCGAATTTCGTGAACCTCCTCAAACCTCAAGGGCACGTACCAAAAAGCCCTTAAGGTCGCCGCGGCTACCTCCATAGGATGTATAGAGATCCTAAAGGAACGCGCAGTGCTCCAACAAATTGGAACTCAAGCGGAGAAGATGCGTTCACTTCGCAGAGAAATGTCGAACCTCCGACAAAAACTCGAGACGGAACTGGAAGCGGAGAAGCGCAAAGTGCTTGACATAACAAGTGAAGCTAAACGGTACCGCAGAGAGCTGATGGAGCTAAAGGCTAACCCTCCGGATAGATCAAGGGATAAGCCCCCCCAGTGCGGTAAAGTGCCCATGGACATTGACTTGAGCGAGGAAAATAAGGGGGAAAAGAAGAAAACAAGTCTTCCCCCTATCGAGGAATGGCCGGTGGTCAGACGCCCCGCTCTACAGGGCAGGAGTATGATTCTGGAGGATCACCCCGTCAACATCGATATGAAGATAGTTGATGCTAGGGGCAACATAAGAGCCGTAGGTGCCAACGGGAAGAAAGCCCCTTCCACAAGGCGACTTAGATACGAAGGGGTCCCAGCGGGAGATACTCCAATGGCCAAAACGTCCACATCTGGGGTCACGGGGACTCCCCTGTCAGCGGAAGAAATATCTGATATGATCAGAGCTATAGTGAAGGACGAGCTGCAGAAGGTTGTGGAGGCCCCCGCGCCCCTGGAGGCTCGCGCGTCACAAACCCAGGGAAAGAAAAAGACTCCCACGAAAAAGAAGGAGAAACCTACCGGGACAGGAACAGGAGCTGTCACGACGGGGGCTTCGACAGAGTTCCGGGAATCCCGTACAGCCCATGCGGTAGACACAGAGAAGGAAAATCCTGCCGATCCACGAATAGAGCGGGAAGAACCCTGGGTACTCATCGTTGGACGCAAGGCCAGGGCGGCACAAAAGAGGAGCGCACACATTGCGCTCAAGACTGCCACGGGGGGGGGGGGCGAACCGGACGGCTTCCGGCACCAAAGGCAGTTCTAGGAGTAGCGCAAGATCGGACACAACTCCTTCGAGAATTAAGCGTCTGCCGAGAACAGCGGCCATCGCAATAAACTGCAGGGGCGAGACGACTCACGCAGCAGTCATGCAGCTCGCTAGAGAGAAAATTAACATCTCCGAGATGGGGATCGTAGACCTTAAACCTCGACGAACCAGATCGGGGGCCTTCTTATTAGAGGTTCCAGGAGGTGCGTCCGGAGCGGAGAAGGCAAATGCACTCGCGGAAAAGCTCACAGAGCTTACGGCGGACAACCCGGACGTGCGCATCTCACGTCTGGAAAGGATGGGCGAGCTGAGAGTCCGGGATCTGGAGGCCTCCATCACGAAGGACGAGCTACACGTCCAGCTTTCCGAAATTGGAGACTGCAGGCCCTCCGAAATCAAGGCTGGAAGGATAGTCTCCATGCCAAACGGACTCGGATCGGTTTGGGTGAAATGCCCACTCAAAGCGGCAATAAAAATTACCAAGACACCGAGAATTACAATTGGCTGGACCGGTGTGAGAGTGGAACTGCTGGCCGATAGGGGCCTGCAGTGTCATAAGTGCTGGGAGAAGGTCCATGTCGCCGCTAAATGCAGGAGTGACTGCGACAGAAGAGGTCTGTGTTACAGATGCGGCGAGGATGGTCACACCACAAACAACTGCGGCAACGATGCGCGATGCAAGATCTGCGCGGACAAGGACGCTCCTGCGAACCACCGATTTGGCGGCAGGTCGTATCACCCCCCTTCGACGCCGGCGAGAAGAAGGATTGGGAATCAGGCTGAGACCGCCATATCAGTTAGACGATCCCAAGGGAAGGTGACGGCAGTCAAAAGCACCCGTATAGAGGTGGACACGGCGCCGATCGCGAATAAACAGAGTACAACCATGTCACAAGACATGGAGATAGGCACCGAGGAGACTTCACCCTCTCCATTCGGTACGAGCGAGCCGCCGGGCTCGACCCCAGCGACCGCCGTCAAAGTATCAGAGGTTGATAATACAGGCCCCCCAGAGGATCCGTGAACCGGACCAAACCCGGAGTTGATCCATGCATGGACAGAAGAGACTGGATAATCGGCTTTTGCAGGCCAACGTGAACCACTCGGCTCGTACCGGGTTCCAGCGGAACACCCTAACTGGACTGTCAGCAACAATGGTACGGTGGCAATAACGTGGAGACCGAACTCGAGCCCGCTCCCGTGCGTTCCATTTGAGAACGGTGACGCGCACACCGCGGTCCGATGAGGGGACATCACTGTAATAGGTGTCTACATTTCGCCCTCCGTCGACAGAGTAAGGGTGGAGAGGATCCTGGACGCAGTGGAGGAATGCGTCACGCATGCCGGGAGGAGGCCCGTATTGCTGGGCGGCGATTTCAACGCCCATGTAACCCTATGCGGATCACCTTCCACGGATATCAGAGGACGAATATTATCAGCATGGGCAGCACGGCTGGGGCTAATATGCCTCAACCGCGGTTCTCGGCCCACGTGCGTGAGACCGCAGGGTTCCTCAATAGTGGACCTAACCTTCGGGAGTCCAGCCATCGCCGCTAGGGCACGAGATTGGAGGGTTCTCCCGGCGGTCACCCTGTCGGATCACCGTTACGTCCACGTCGCGCTCTCTGAGATGACGACGCAAAGGCGCTGGGGAGCCCGCCCACGAGAGCGTCGGTGGAGATTAGGGGCGCTCAATGACGACCTACTGCAGGCGTCCCTCATCACCGGGGCGATGGTGCATGTTGGTGACCCGATCGCATGGAACCTGGAGGAGGAGGCCATCAGGCTCAGGAGTGTCCTCGTGCGCGCCTGCGACGTGGCCATGCCGAGAGCAAGGCCTCAACCCGTGCGGGCCATGCCCTGGTGGAGTCAAGATCTGGCGGAGCTGCGGCGCGAAGTCGTTGCCGCCAGGAGGGCGGTGAAGCGAGTGCGTCGACGCCGACACCGTCACGACGAGGAAGAGGTGGAGCACAGGGTCGAGATGCTCCGATTGGTCAGACGGACGCTACGTACCGCCATCGCAAAGGCCAAGTCGAAGGCCTGAGTGGACTTTGTGGAGACCCTCGATGACAACCCGTGGGGGAAGCCGTACCTCGTGGTGCGGAATAAGCTCCGGCACTGGGCTCCCCCGTACACGGAATCTCTAGAGGCGCCAGTGCTCGAAAAGGTACTACGGGGATTATTCCCTGCCCGATGAGGCCGACTCCTGGATGGAGCCCTCCCTCCCGAAAACGGGCAAGGCCTCCTGGAAACAGGAAATGGAGGTATCCGAAGACGAGCTGTTACAGGCTCGCAAGCGCATGCTACAACGGAGCGCAGCTCCTGGGCCGAGTGGAGTGCCTGCAAGGGCATGGGGGGCGGCTGCCCACGTGCTCGGTAATCGCTTGCGCTCACTGTTTACCGAGTGCCTGAGACGGGGCTACTTCCCGCGGGCATGGCGAGGGGCTAAGTTGGTGCTGCTGCGCAAGCCCGGAAAGCCGGCGGACACAGCGGCCGGTTACCGCCCGATTTGCCTCATCGTGGAGGAGGCGAAATTATTGGAGAGGGTGATCCTCGAGCGGGTGGTGGCACACCTGGACGGCCGTGGACCCAACCTCCATGCGAGGCAATATGACTTCCGCAGGGACAGGAGCACTATCGATGCCATCCTCTACGTGAGAGGCTTCGTGGAGAGAGCATGGGAAGAGGGGGAGGTGGTCGTTGGCGTGTGTCTCGACATTAGGAACGCCTTCAATTCCCTCCCCTGGGAAGCGATTGGACTCGCCTTGGCACGACACAGGGTCCCACTCTATCTGCTTCGAGTGCTGAGATCATATCTACAGGAGCGCCGACTACAGTTCCGCGCCGATGGGACACGCATGGAGCGTGCTGTCGAGCGGGGGGTCCCACAGGGCTCCATACTGGGGCCACTTCTATGGGACTTGAGATATAACGTAGTCCTCTCAGAGACTGATCTTCCCCCCGGCTGCGCGGTGGTCTGCTATGCGGACGACACCATCGTTCTCGCAGCCAGGAGGAACCTCGTAGCAAACGAGGCGCTCCACTGCGTTGTGGAAGAAATCCAGGGCCTGGGGCTACAGGTGGCCCATGACAAGACAGAGGCCGTTGGGTTCCACAGGGGAGGCAGGCAGGCGTCCATGACGGTAAGGGTGGCCGGTACAGATATTCGACTCACCCAGCACATTAAGTACCTGGGGCTCCTCCTTGACAGGCGGTTGAGGTTCGAGGACCACTTTGCTAGTGTGGCTAAGAGGACCGACCAGGCGGCACTTTTGCTGAGCAGGCTTTTGCCCAACTTGGGTGGGCCCGGGGGCAAACCCCGAAGACTGTTCGCCAACGTGGTGGCCTCGATCGCTTTGTACGGGTCTCCCGTCTGGGCGGAGGAGGCAGGGAAAAGGCCCACGATACAACGGGCGCTTAGAGGCGCGCAGCGAAGGATAGCAGGGAGGGCTGTTAAGGCGTATAAAACGGTGTCACACGCCGTGAACACCGCCCTCGCGGGCTCTCCGCCACTCGAGTTGATGGCAGCGGCGCAGGCGGAAGTCTACCGCGCGGTCTCCGAGCTGAAAGAAAGGCACGGACACCTCGCAGTTACGCCATCCTTCTTGCACCAGGTGAGAGGAAGGTGTCACAACAAATTGCTCAAGGAATGGGAGAGATGGATCTCGACTACCCCGCAACAGGGAGACGAGACCCTCCGGGCGATCCAGTCGCGACTCAAAGATTGGTCGGAGGCTAAGGTGGGGCTATTCTACCGTGCGACGCAGATTCTGACCGGACACGGATGTTTCGGGAAGTATCTGCGCCGCATTGGAAAGGAGATAACGGAGCGCTGCTGGCATTGCACCGCCCCACAAGACACAGCGTCGCTCCAGCTCTGCCCGACATGGGCAGTGCAGCGGGCCCGGCTCAGGGCAGAGATAGGCCAGGACCTGTCCATGGACAACGTCGTTCGTGCCCTGCTCACGGAGAAAGGAGCCAAGGCCTTCCTCTCATTCGCCGAAGAGGTGATACAAGAGAAGGAGAGGCATGAGCGAGCGCGACGGGAAATTCCGCCTGCCAGGATGGCGAGCTAATGGCTCTGCCCCTCGAGCCCGTTAAACAGGACTCGGGGGGCCCAGGGAGCCGTAGGGCTCCGAATATGAAGAGCTCATCGACTCGGGATAAACGGGTCTCGTGGGCACAGCGAAGGGCGGACGACCTCGCATGGTCTCCGACATGCGCGGTGGAGGGCCTGACGGCCGATACGCAGACGGTAATCGGCGGCCACATCTCTTTGCGTCGGGGAACTTCGGACGAGGATCCGTCGTTCTCCTCGTAAACGACGCAGGAGACTAGGCGGCGAGGGGAGGTGGTGTCCTCCTCTTGCCGATGCAACAAAGATAAGGTTGCACAAACTGTGTGCATACGGCGCTGGGTCGGGCAGGTAGTACTGCTGTTGCGAAGATCCCTGCTCATCCCAACTTGCGCCAAGGATAGGACACCCGCAGTGGTTTTAGTGGGTAGTACCCCAGTATGGGTTGAGTCCCACATAACCCGGTCACTTCCACACTGTGACCGGGTATGCGTAAAGGCATTTCCACTGCGTCACCAAAAAAAAAGGTCAAGGTCAGGTTGATTTTTTTAATGGAATTCCCTACTTTTCATTACATTTTCTTGTATCTTACCTCAAGAGCTTTAAAAACACTATAATAAAATATTTTTTCATTAAGTATTTTTCGAGTTATAAGGCTCGAAAGTTACAGTACAGCCGGCATTAGCATTACGCAAGTTGTATGACCGACGCCTAAAACCTCTTGAATGTTGTTCAGGATCATATTCTAGATAACATTTGTCAAGATCAAGGCCATTGGAGGTTGTACTTCTTATTTTCAAGTTTACGTAAAAATGAATTTTTTAGTTCAAAAATGAAAATAAGAGGAATAATGAGTAACGGATATAGTAATAAGGCGATAGGAGTCAGAGCGGATAACATTGCGCAAATCAACAAATCTTTCTTAAATTGTTATATTTTAATCTATTCTTTGACTGACAAAATTAAACGGTTCTGTTTGATCAATTTCAATTTATAATTTTTATATTCTTGCTGAGGATGGCTCAAATCTAGAACCGAACGTTCATGACATTATATTATTAAATTATTTTATAATTGATTTTGTTGATATTTGCGCACCGTTTTCCGCGCCGTTTTTATACAGATAGAGCGGACTAAACTGAGTCGAAAAGTCCTGTATCATTTTGCAATTTTTGCAATAGTTAACGAGATATTAATTACTAAAAATTGCCGAATATTTGTCTTCAATAATTTTTTACTCAAATACTATTAATTTTACAGATAAACAAGAAACAAAAATCATTAATTTTCTTCTCATAGAACCCTAAGAATTTTTTCAGAATTTTGTATTAACTTTTCAGTACTGCATTTTCTTGTTTTTACCAACATGAGAAAATATGGTATTAAAAAATTCTGGAAAAATTCTGAAAAAATTTTCAGAGCTTTATCCGAAGAAAATAAACAATTTTTATTTCTTGCTGTTTTTCTGTAGAGTTAATAGTATTTGAGTAAAAAATTATTGAAGACAAATATTCGGCAATTTTTAGTAATTAATATCTCGTTAACTATTGCAAAAATTGCAAAATGATACAGGACTTTTCGACTCAGTTTAGTCCGCTCTATTTATACAAAAACGGTTGGCAAAAACTTACGGGATACTCTGTATATACAGGGTATAGAAAAAGTCTCAGACCCCTTAAATATCTTGAAAAGTAATCATTTTTGAGAAAAATATTTTATACAAAAGTTGTAGGGTTAAAACTGAATCTATTGACTGACCTTATCAATTTGACCTTGGATGGCGCCACCAAGGTCAAGTCAAGGTCAAATCGATTTTTTTAAACGAAATATCCTATTTTTGATTTTAGAATCTAATAGCTGAGATCGGGAGCTTTCCAAAACACTATAATAAAGCCTCTTTTTAATCAGTACTTTTCAAGTTATGAGAGTTGAAAATTACGGAATAGTCA